GTCCCTGTCATTTAGGGGTCATTCCTGTCGATATTATTATTATCTTATTGCCATTGCTTTAATGATAATCAAGACTACTATTATGCATATGGCTATGTTTATGATTATATAAATGTCATAATTACAATTAGTATTACGAACGGACTAATAATTTAAAATATAATGATCGCTATCATTAATAGAAAGAGACAGAGACTGACAGACAGACAGACGGACGGACAGACAGGCAGGCAAACACGCAAGCGCAAACGCAAGCCAAGAAACCAGAAACCGGGACCCCCGCTTCCTCCCCCAGAAACCGCGACGTGTTGCTGGTGTTCGCGTCGTACGGCCTGTCCAGCATCCCGTGGGAGGCGGTCCTCAGCTATTACCTCTCGACCCTCGGCATCCAGCAGGTGGGCGCCGGGCGTGCGCGACTCAGAATAAGTATTTGAGATGCACGTTCTTTCCTCCGCCAACGAGGTTGCTTTTGGGGGACGGTTGCTTTGTTCATTTGTTAACAGGGTGACAAAAAATTAATAGATTTTTGATGATTTTTTTTTACCAGGAGCGGTCTTAGCCTAACTTTGATGCTCTTAAGTTTTGGTGGTGATCCGGATCGAGGATTTTTTTAAATGATAGCGTAGTTACCCCTTTTGCCTTTACGGACGCCATCAGTGTACTTGAGAAAGAGGTAATCATTTAATCCTTCCTGTGAAGATTTCTTTTGCATCAGTGATCCCATTGCCTTGACGGAGGTATGCGCTGTCTGAGTGCTTCTGGTTTGTATCTGAAATTACTGATGGAAAAACAAAAATGAATAATAAAAATCTTTTATCACTGATGACTATAAGAGTAATGGTGACGGTGATGATGATGATAAAGAGATATTATTAGTGATACATTTATAGTGACCATGATAATATTCACTTCCAGACAAAAACCCTTTGCAACTGCGAAAGAATTCCCTGTCATGAATATTACTGTTGAAATGGATGAGTTGGATTGTCATTTCCCTCGCTGCCCCCCCCCCCATGTTTCTGAGCCAACGAGGCCTATGGCAACCTTCCCCGGCATGTACAACCTGTGCCTCCTCCTGCAGGATGAGGCCTCCTGGCTGGGCTTCGTCGCCGTGGTCGCCTCGGCCGCCGCGGGCCTCCTCGCCGCCCGCCTCAACGACCTGATCTACGGCCACGCCCTCCCCTGCGTGCTGGCGCTCATGCTTGCCTCTATCGGGGCCTTCTACTGGCTCTGCCTGCTCTCGTGGGGCACCATCGCCGTGGCCAAGTGTAAGGCGCAGCTTCCTCCTGTCATTATTATCATTATCATTGCTATTATTATTATTACTATTTTGGTGGTGGTGAAAATCAGCACAATCCTCTTATGGGGTTGGCTCGTTCCCGTCCAGGAAAAACAACCCTTATCATTACTATATTTATCATGACCATAATCATGATTATTATCATCTTCCTCCTGTCATTATTATCATTATCATTGCTATTATTATTATTACTATTTTGGTGGTGGTGAAAATCATCATCATCCCACAATTATCATCAATCATCATCATTTTCAGTATCATAGTCATCCTAAAACACAATTAATTTAGCCTCAACGTATTTCATAGAAAAAGCCCAATTCGCTGCACCAAGACGACGCACCGGCCCAAAGTCCATATAAGTACTTCTATAGACCTTGCAGCGGCCGACCTGCAAAGGACGCCGTTCGCCCGTGGCCGGCCAGGCCGCGGTCGGGGCGGAGAGACTGTCGTGCAGAATCTTGCATCCCTGGTCGGGTTTTCACCGAGATCACGAAGAATAATTTGTAGCAAATAATTTGTTTCTGGCAGTGATGAACTGGCACAACAAGCGGGAAATCCCCGGACTTTCCATATTTTCTCCGGAAGGGGCAGAAGCCCTGATCATGATAATAGATAAGGCTAATAAAAAGGATAACAGTGTCCGTGACATTGATAATGATTGTACAGCGATTATAATGATGATGATAAGGATAATAAAGAATAATTATGATAGTAGTAATGATGATAAGGGTAAAGATAAGATGGTGATGGTAATAATAACAATGATAATAATGATCACAATAACAATAACACACTAATATTGATACTACCTCCCCACCTCCTCCCAGGGCAAGTATACACGTCTGTTATCGGCGGGATGGCTGTGAATCTGGGCGCGACGTCCTTGTTCGTGGAGCTGGCGGTGGAGCTGGCGTACCCGTGTCCCGAGGGCGTCGTCACCGGCTTCATGGAGGCAGTGCCCAACGTCACCGGAGCCATCTTTTTATTCTTGTTTTTCATACCCGATATTGGTAAGCAAATGTTTTATCATTCAATTTAATTTTCGTAAATACAGCTGGGTAAATGATAAGAAAATAGCCTTGCAAATACGTTCACTCAATAGGTATTGAAGTAGGACTTTACCTGGTAATAAAGTAGTGCAACAACTTTATGGTTAAATGAATAACGTGAAAATAATTTCTTAGCAACTTGTTGACGACTCCTATCGCCATGCCTAGAGTGAAATTAACTAAAACGTATATGGAAAATAAAAGCGCGCCATTTTTCAGCGTCGGAGTTGCCGATTCCTTTTCAATTTGGAATTACTGGCCTATGGTGTCACGAGGGGAATTAGAGGATGGTAGGCTGGGGAAAGCAGATAATAGAGAATTTGAATAGACCTTGACAAGCAGGAGCACGTTTGTGGTCAGCCTCAAACGCTAAAAATCGTTGGCTAAAACTTCGATCGCATCAGAGAACGACGATGCCGAGAGCGCATAGACACTCAGTTAGCAAAGAAAAATATGATATTTATTTCGTTATAAGATTTCTTATGTATTTCACTCCGAGTAACATGAATGGGAAGTATGCTTAGAAATTATCGCAATGTAATTTACATATATGAATATGTTTCTTAGCTAAATGCATAAAACCTACCAAATAAAAATTTCGAATATTTCAGGGTCGTCGCGATCATTTCCATCCGGAAGCATATGTGTGCGCGTATCAGCATCAAAGCATATGTTAATTAATCTATATAAACAGGTGTATCTGCATACATTCATGCATTCATGTCTGCATGTGTGTTTTCGTCTAATTTTTATTAGACGTTAGGTGTCGGTTCATACAAACATTTATGTAAATAAGTGCAGTTTTGTAAATCATGTGCCTATAGCGCTAAGGTACGACATGCAATTATAACAAACAAATGACTAAAAATAATTCTTTGGCCACTTCGCCAGGATACACTTGGGTGGTCTACTACCTGCTGGGGTCGTGCGTGGCGTGCGTCCTGCCGCTCCTGCTGGTGAAGGAAGAGTACGCCAGGTCCTCCATCGACCGCCGCCGCTGCCTGGGATCCTTCCCTTGAAGAGGCGCTGCTGCGTCTCGCGATTTTGGTCGATTGCTCTGAAAGTGTAAACAGGCTGGATTGAAAAGGCCATGCTTTACATTTGAGTTTTCTTTGCTTATGTGTGGTGTCATTTTTTCAGTTATCTTCATTATCAGCTATTATTTTCATTACTGATATCATTATTAAGCCTCTGCGATGACTTCTTGTACGTATCAAGGATAAGTCCGACATGCGAAGCTGAGCCTCGCCCGGGCTATGGGTGAACCCGGCCTGTGCCGACTAATGTCGACTCGATCAACGTGTGTCAGCGAGTGCTGACGCGACAGAGCTTAGTCCTTACCCACTGTCCCAGCCACAGCAGTAACCTCCGAGCGACAATTGCAACTTCTCGCGCCTGGGCGGGGCGCGAACCGCCGACCCCTCGGATGAGAGGACGTGCCGTCCTCTCATCCGTGGGCTCGGCGGCGGTCCACTGTATTATCCTGGAGCGCGAACCGCCGACCCCTCAGATGAGAGGACGGTATCATGGAGGCTACGGTTTCCTTCGTCCAGTCATAATTAAAAATAAACCTTGTAAAGGAGTCGTTAGCGGAGTTGCCAGATGAGGTCACCACATTCTATCATGAATACCTTGACAGTAACTTGCTCCTATATATATCTTTTATATCTTTAGCGTCAGTGCGTATCCGTCTCATAAGTTCCATATATTCCCCCTTGTCTTTTCTGGCGTTTTTTACATTCTTTGTTGTGTCTCTCCCATTCTGCAAGGCTCCCTTTTCCTTTAGACATTTTCGTGCAATGTTTCTTCGTTTCCTGAAGGCTTTGTTATTCCTGCCTCTCCCGCTTTGCTCCGCGCCCGACGCCGGCTGCATGGCCCGCCGCTTCTCCCACGCTGCATCTAGTGATTTTCCTGTCAGGACAAGGAAATGTTTCTAAATTTTGAGACAAAATGTTTCAAAATGTTTAGGAAAAAGTTTCTAATATCGATTTTCAAATTAAATCATATCTTTGTGAAGTTATATAGTAGGCTACTAGGTATTGTTGCAGATTTTTGCTTTTAAGTCGCTTTTTATTCCACTGATTTATCTACTTTGCAACAATACAAAATCGGCACTAGTAATGGCGTGTTCAGGGTTACCGGGGATCCGAGTTTCAGTCCATCGACCCCGTAACAAAAGTTTTCATCGACCCAAAATTCAAGATTTTAAGTGAAAATTACACGTGTATAGATTATGCAGTATTCTGTGATTATATGCAAATTAATGCAAAATCAAAACGATTTTTTCATCTTAATATTATTAATAATAATTTGATAATGGTATAACCAATAGGCTTACACAATGACTATTCCTACTCATGGACGATTACACACTTTCTCACACACATAATTTCAAATACACACTGATATTGAATGCGGAATAGATGCGTGTGAGCAACCGTGGGCAGGTAGGGTGTCCAAGCACGATTCCTTCGCTCGAGTACATTGGCCTTTAAAAAACAGCGCTTGCAAGCCAACGGGAACCTCGCAGTCGACTGCAACGCCAATAGACGTTTCATGCTTTGCTTCCCTCCGGTTGTTTGTTTGTTTGACTCCAGATATATATTCAGCCCCTTTTTGTCTCCAGCTGTTTTGCGAGCCTCTGCCCTGAC